GAGAACCTGGAAAGAATCCAGAACCTGGAAAGTCAAGAGAACCTGGACAATTGCCAGAATCAGGAAAATATCCAGAACCCGGAAAGTCAGCAGAACCTGGCAAGTCTACAGAACCTGGAAAATCAAGAGTACCTGGACAATTGCCAGAATCAGGAAAATATCCAGATCCCGGAAAGTCAGCAGAACCTGGCAAGTATCCAGAACCTGGAAAATCAAGAGTACCTGGAAAATTGCCAGAACCTGGAAAGTATCCACAATCTGGCGAGTCAACAGATTCACCAAAGTCTGATGAACCTTGGAGACCTAGAGAACCTGGAAAGTATCCACAACCTGGCAAGACAACAGATCCAGGAAAGTCTGGGGAACCTGGAAAGGCAGATGAACCTTGGAGGGCAACAGAACCTGGAAGGTATCCAGAACCTGGGAAGTCAACAGATCCAGGAAAGTCTGGGCAACCAGGAAAATTGCCAGAATCAGGAAAATATCCAGAACCTGGAAAGTCAAGAGAACCTGGAAAATTACCAGAATCTGGAAAGTATCCAGAACCAGGAAAGTCACCAGAACCAGGAAAGTCTGATGAACGTTGGAGGCCTAAAGAACCTGGAAAGTATCCAGAACCTGGAAAGTCAACAGATCCAGGAAAGTCTGATGAACCTTGGAGACCTAGAGAACCTGGAAAGAATCCAGAACCTGGAAAGTCAAGAGAACCTGGACAATTGCCAGAATCAGGAAAATATCCAGATCCCGGAAAGTCAGCAGAACCTAGCAAGTCTACAGAACCTGGAAAATCAAGAGTACCTGGACAATTGCCAGAATCAGGAAAATATCCAGATCCCGGAAAGTCAGCAGAACCTGGCAAGTATCCAGAACCTGGAAAATCAAGAGTACCTGGAAAATTGCCAGAACCTGGAAAGTATCCACAATCTGGCGAGTCAACAGATTCACCAAAGTCTGATGAACCTTGGAGACCTAGAGAACCTGGAAAGTATCCACAACCTGGCAAGACAACAGATCCAGGAAAGTCTGGGGAACCTGGAAAGGCAGATGAACCTTGGAGGGCAACAGAACCTGGAAGGTATCCAGAACCTGGCAAGTCAACAGATCCAGGAACGTCTGGGCAACCAGGAAAGTTGCCAGAATCAGGAAAATATCCAGAACCTGGAAAGTCAACAGAACCTGGCAAGTATCCAGAACCTGGAAAGTCAAGAGAACCTGGAAAATTACCAGAATCTGGAAAGTATCCAGAACCAGGAAAGTCAACAGAACCAGGAAAGTCTGATGAACGTTTGAGGCCTATAGAACCTGGAAGGTTTCCACAACCTGGCAAGTCTACAGATCCTGGAAAGTCTGATGAACCTCTGAGGCCAAGAGAACCTGGAAAGTATCCACAACCTGGGGAGTCAACAGATTCACCAAAGTCTGATGAACCTTGGAGACCTAGAGAACCTGGAAAGTATCCACAACCTGGCAAGACAACAGATCCAGGAAAGTCTGGGGAACCTGGAAAGGCAGATGAACCTTGGAGGGCAACAGAACCTGGAAGGTATCCAGAACCTGGCAAGTCAACAGATCCAGGAAAGTCTGGGCAACCAGGAAAGTCTGGGCAACCAGGAAAATTGCCAGAATCAGGAAAATATCCAGAACCTGGAAAGTCAACAGAACCTGGCAAGTATCCAGAACCTGGAAAGTCAAGAGAACCTGGAAAATTACCAGAATCTGGAAAGTATCCAGAACCAGGAAAGTCAACAGAACCAGGAAAGTCTGATGAACGTTGGAGGCCTAAAGAACCTGGAAAGTATCCAGAACCTGGAAAGTCAACAGATCCAGGAAAGTCTGATGAACTTTTGCGACCTGGAGTACCTGGAAAGTATCCAGGTCCTGGAAAGTCAACAGAACCAGGAAAGTCTGATATACCTGGAAAGGCAGGTGAACCATGGAAGCCAAGAGAACCTGGAAAGTCAATAGATCCAGGAAAGTATGATGAACCTTTCAGACCTAGAGAACCTGGAAAGTCAACTGATCCAGGAAAGTCTGATGAACCATGGAGACCAAGAGAACCTGGAAAGTATCCACAACCTGGCAAGTCAACAGATCCTGGAATGTCTGGGGAACCTGGAAATACAGATGAACCTTGGAAGCCAAGAGAACCTGCAAAGTCAACAGATCCAGGAAAGTCTAGGGAACCTGGAAAGGCAGATGAACCATGGAGAACAAGAGAACCTGGAAAGTATCTAGAACCTGGCAAGTCAACAGATTCAGGAAAGTCTGATGAACCTTTGAGATCAAGGGAACCAGGAAAGTTTACAGGACCTGAAAAGTATGATGAATCTGGTAAATCTTTAGAACCTGGGAAGTCTAAAGAACGAGGGAGGAAACCAACAAAGTTTACAGAACCCACTCCTATCCTTCCAGCAGGTCAGTTTTATTTTAAAGCTAGATGGTGTTATCTATACATTTTTTTTTATCTTATATTTCTTGATCCAGGTTTGTATCACGTCTTGCCATAAGATATATGTGTTTTAGTAACATTTTATACATTGTTCTCAAGGGTACAATCCTTGTCCTGCAAAGGCCTGAGATCATTACCTTATTGCTATCTTTTTATCCCTACTCAAATTTTCCAATATTTTGCTCCAGAGTTATTTAACCCCTTCAGGACCGATGACGGTTCAGGACCGTCATCAGAAACATCCCCTTGAGGACCGATGACGGTCCTGAACCATCAGAACAGAAATTTTTACTTACCCGATCGCCGCCGTTCCCCTGCTGGCGATCTGTGTTGCTTCCAGTCTGGGGGGACTGCGTGACAGCCCAGACAGTCCCCCTTCGGCAAATTAGGCCCCCTGCGGCCATGTGATCTCTCTGAAAGCGATGATATATATATATATATATATATATATATATATATAGATACATACATATATTATATCTATATATAATATGTATATATATCTTATATATATAATGTCATACTAAGTGTATTGCACATATTAATATAAAAAACACGTATCTTTATTTTACACACATGTATAAATAATATATATAATAACTATATATATTGTGTATATATATATATATATATATATATATATATTATAAAATCTAAATAATAAGTAAATAAAAAAAATAAAATAAAATAAAAATTATATAAATATATATATATATAATTTTATTCTAACTGTATTTTGATATTAATATATATACACTTAGAATGAAATTGTATATATATATATATATATGGATGTAGAAACAATCGCACTCCTGGGACTTGGTTGAAGTAGTAAAATTTTGCTTTTATTTATTCCATATAAAATATCAATGTTTCAGCTCTATGTTACCTGTCCTGATGAAAGCGCCATGTTGGATAGGTGAGTGCGCTGGATCTTGTGTATTATATATATATATATATATATATATATATATATATAAAAATAGAGAAAAAATTAAAATATGAAATGTATATATCCATATACAAAATTACATAAATAATTTCATAAATATACACGTAGACTTCAAATATATAAATATGTATATATATATATATATATATATAAATTTAAATTCTACGTACATATTTATGTAATATTTCAACATAAAAAAAGTCACTTTCACTGACAATATCATCGCTGTGATATGTTTTACTGTTTTGAATCACTAATATTTGTATTCAGCGAAGTCTTCCGAGTAAAACAGTACCCCCCATGTACAGGTTTTAGGGTGTCGTAGAATGTTACAGGGTAAAATACAGTGCTAGCAAATTAAATTCTCTGGAATTTCGGCCTGGGTTGGCAGGCAGGTCCCTCAAATTGCAATCAATAAAATTACTGAATTATGTAAAAATATTACATAAATACACACGTAAAATTTAAATATATATGCATATTTATATATTTGAAGTCTACGTGTATTTATATAATTATTTTTGTAATTTTGTGTATGGACATATGTATATTTCGTACTATTTTTATTTATTTATATATACATAGATATATATACAAATTCATTCTAAGTATATTTTGAGATATATATATATATATATATATATATATATATATATATTAATTTTAAAATACAGTTAGAATAAAATTTCATATAGATATATAATTTTTTTAACATTTTTTATTATTATTTAAAAAAAATGTATTTAATTTAAATTACTTATTATTTATATTTTATAATAATATATATATACAATATATATAGTTATTATATATATTATATATATACGTGTGTAATTTAATTATAAGTGTATTTTTATATTAATATAAGTACATATTAATATAAAAATACACTTAGTATGGCATTATATATATCATATACACACATATATAATTTTTTTTTTTTTTTTTTATTAATACTAACTTTTTTTTTTTTTTTACTGATTTTACACTTGCAGGGAGACTGCCTGTCAGCACAGGCAGTCCCCCTGTAGGCAGACACATGGACCCCTATTGTGACCATGTGATCGCTTTGTTAAGCGATCACATGGCCACAGGGGTCCTAATTCAGTGTGGGGAGACTGTCTGGGCTGCAGGCAGTCTCCCCACAACGGGAGCCACGCTGATCGCCGCCGGGGGAATGACGGCGATCAGGTAAGTAACTAAGACCGTTAGGACGGTTCAGGACCGTCATCGGTCGGCAACGCAAAAATGCCAATGACGGTCCTGAACCGTCCTCGGTCGTTAAGGGGTTAACGTACAACATGGCCAAAACAGTCCAGCCCTGAAGGGGTTAAAGGAAACCCATATTCTTTTAATGCAATTTATAGCTAATGCATTTACAGGAACACTATAGCGTCAGGAATACAAATGTGTAGACATTTTACCTACATTAATTTCTATCCATAACAGTCCCCCCTTAAAATGATTATTTACTGAAAGCCATATCTAGTAGCAATATCTATTCCTATAAGCTGTCCCTAATAGCCTACAGCACATCTGTCCAACAGGCCTCGGAACTCTTTTGGTGCTGCACATAAGACAAGCAGTGGCTTGTCCACCACCCCCCTCGCTACAGACTTTGCCCGTAAAGACAGACGATAACCCTATGGTCCCTAAAATAATGTAACTTTGGTATTGGGGGGGAGGGACTGCAACGGGGCACAGGGCTTATCGTAGTCTTCCTCATCTATCTCCTGACACAACAAACAATGAGAGCAAGGATGGTCAACATTATCAGGAATGCCACACCTATTTGCGCCAGAACTTTCTGCCAGCCAGTCATCCACCGAAACCATCTTTCCCATGGATCAGTGACCCTAGAGTTCCTTTTTAACTCTTCTGAGAGACTCTCTAACTTCTCTATTGCCAGGGTTACTTTGCTATTAGGGCCTATGTTGTCTGGAATGTAGGTGCAACATGTCATGGTGTCAGGGAGTATTTTACATACCCTCCTTTCTCCGTTAAGATCATGTCTAGGGCCAGTCTATTCTGGAAAGTCATCTGGGAAGTGGCCTGAAGTTGCTCAGCCAACCCCTGGAGGGCATCTCGTGTATAGTTTACAAACCGTTGTTGGTTATAATATATATAATTAATCCAATTCAAATTCTTATTGGCTGTGATGATAGGGAGGATCGATACAAACCCTGCTGCAACTTCATCTCTTGCCTTGAATTCATTAGGCACTCCAATGGCACTATATATACATGGGGGTCGACACTACCTTTTACAGGAGTGCCTCTTCTGGTCCTGATGTGTGAGTGTGACTTGTCATGTGCAACTTGGTGGCTGTCAGATATAATGTGTATAGGCATAATAACTTTGGCCAAGGTTCATTCCCCCCATCATAAATCCTCCAGTCTTGACCTAAGCTGCATATCCCTACATAACCCAGGGATTTAACATGTTTTTGTAGAAGGGTGAGTGGAATCGTGCTATACGGGGCACAATATTTACCAGTGAAATTACCCCAAAATTGGCCTTTTCCACCATATATACTGTAGCAGGTGTAGTTCCCTGGATATATAGTAATACCCTCGTCTGGTTTGATGTTCTTAGTCACAATTGGGTATTCCTTTTTCCACTCTTCACACGCTGACTGATTAGTCTTGAGGGTAGTGTAGAGGCTTAGGAAACACAATTCTATGTTGGGGGGTAAGTTTAGGGGTACAGTACTTAGGTGGGGTCTGGCTCCTCCACAGACATAGCAGTTAGTTTTATTGTGTATGTTAGCGTTATATCTAATCCATTCAAGCCATAGGTTAGTGTCAGAGAATCCTGTCTCTGTAGCCATAGTATCTTCAAATGTAGGGTTTGCTATGGCTACCATTTCCTTAAAGGTCTGAATGTGGGCTTTAAGTGGATTAGTGATCATATGTCGGGAAGCTACCCACTCTGGTGACTGATACATATCATGTAGGTAGAAGGTTCCCTGTTTATTATAGGAGCGCCCCCTTTCCAATACATTCTCATTACATACTCGCCAGCATCTTCGGGGCTGGGATGTTCTATGTTTAGGGTGAGTTTCATTGGGGTCGTCCCTCCCGGTTTCCGTAAAGTCATTCTGAATAATAAGGACTCCCCATTTCTGTCCAACCTAAGGCACTCTGTGGTTTGTAGCCCCAAGCTGGCCCTGCATTCCAACCCGCCGCCCACCAGGAACTACAGTCATGTCTTCAGTAGTCATCTGTAACACATATGCATGGGTCCTTTATGTCTTTGTATACTGTTTTTACCAATGATTGTGGGAATGTACAGCTGACAATATCACAATAATCAAATGTAAAGGTAGCCACATGTATGTTAGATGAGTTGTACCAAAATGTGTAAAACATTATCATCTTTAGTAATAGCAACTTGTTGGGCCCTAGTCAGGCCTAGCAGCAAAAGGATGAACAGGATAATCATGGCTTAGGACAGTCCGCCTCCTCGGGGGCTGGAACCTTTTTGCAGTGGAAAGCGTGGATCCAGGTCCTTTTTCGGGCCATGATGTGGCTGTGACTAGGAGGACTTGGAAGGGACCATCGTATCTTGGCTCAAGAGTGTGCTTTCTCACAAATTTCTTAACCGGAACTAAATCACCAGGAAGCAATCGGTGGGTGCCTGTATCAGACTCTGGATCTGGAATGGAAGAAAACACTTGCGCGTGGATTTTGGTCAACGCTCGGGAGTCAACCAATATATCAGAATGGAGCTGGAGTTGCTTGGGAAATAGCACCCAAGTCTAGGGGCTGAACCAAACAGAATCTCATAAGGGGATAAAGCAAACCTCCCTCTGGGTGCGTACCTTACACTAAATAGAGCTATGGGAAGACTTTCTGGCCAGGGCAGGTTAGATTCTTGGGCCATTTTCAGCATTCTGGCCTTTAAAGTGTAATTCATGCATTTTACCTTATCACTACTCTGTGGATGAAAGGGTGTGTGTAATGCAAGGGTCACCCCCAGTGCTGCCCAGATTTCTTTGGTTACTGATGCAGTGAAGGCCGGGCCCTGGTCACTTTCTATTACTTATGGGACTCCGTATCTGCATACAACTTCGGCAAGCAGGCGTTTGGTTGTGGTCTTGGCTGTCATGTTGGTGACTGGGTAGGCCTCTGGCCATCCTGAGAACATGTCCACTATGACCAGTGCATATTCATA